TGTACAAAATAAAACAGGAAGTTTAAAAATGAAACAAGATCAAATGCACAATGGTGGGGACATTAACCAGCAGAGCTGTCCTTGACAAAAAGTATTTTAGGATCCTGCAAAACTTTCTCAAGATCCTACAAAATGTTCTTAGGATCCTGCAAAGGTTACTTAGGATCCTGCAAAGGTTACTTAGGATCCTGCAAAGATTTCCTAGGATCCTGCAAAGGTTACTTAGGATCCTGCAAAGGTTACTTAGGATCCTGCAAAGTTTTCTTAGGATCCTGCAAAGGTTTCTCTTGATCCTGCAAAATTTTCTCAGGATCCTGCAAAGGTTACTTAGGACCCTGCAAAGGTTACTTAGGACCCTGCAAAGGTTACTTAGTATCCTGAAAAGGTTACTTGGGACCCTGCAATGGTTGCTTAGGATCCTGCAAAGGTTACTTAGCATCCTGCAAAGGTTACTTAGGATCCTGCAAAACTTTCTCAGGATCATACAACGGTTTTCTTAGGATCCTGCAAAGTTTTCTTAGGATCCTGCAACGGTTTCTCTTGATCCTGCAAAATTTTCTCAGGATCCTGCAAAGGTTACTTAGGACCCTGCAAAGGTTACTTAGAATCCTGCAAAGGTTACTTAGTATCCTGCAAAGGTTATTTAGGACCCTGCAAAGGTTACTTAGGATCCTGCAAAGGTTACTTAGGACCCTGCAAAGGTTACTTAGGATCCTGCAAAGGTTACTTAGGACCCTGCAAAGGTTACTTAGAATCCTGCAAAGGTTACTTAGTATCCTGCAAATGTTACTTAGGACCCTGCAAAGGTTACTTAGGATCCTGCAAAGGTTTCTTAGGATCATGCAAAAGTATTTTAGGATCCTACAAAGCTTACTTAGGATCCTGCAGAAGTGTTTTAGGATCCTGCTAAACTATTTTAGGATCCTGCAAAGTTTTCTTAGGATCCTACAAAGTTTTCTCAGGATCCTGCAAAAGTTACTTAGGATCCTAAGGATAAGCGCTGAATGAAAAGCACATCTATGTGTTTTATTTTCTTCCCTCCTACTTTCAGTGATATTTCTTTATCAGATTTTATCACTTCCCTCTCGTTTCTTCACGCTTCAGCTGCACAACGTCTTGCCTTTTCTTTTTTCTACCTTCAGGATAATTTTGGCTACGACCTTCCAGCGGTCGAGGCGGCGATGAAGAAACATGAAGCCATCGAGGCGGACATCGCCTCGTATGAAGAGAGAATCGGTGTGATCGTGGAACTCGCCGTGGAGATGGAAAAAGAGGGCTACTACGACATCCGGCGCATCTCGGCACGCAAGGAGAACATCCTGGGTCAGTGGAGCCTCCTGAAGGAGCTGGTGGCGGGCAGGAGGACACGCCTGGAGAAGAACCTGGCCTTGCAGAAGACTTTTCAGGACATGGTGTACATGATCGACTGGATGGAGGACACGCAGGTACTGTAGGATGGGCTTTTATTGAACGTACGGAGTGAATTTATTATGCAGCGTGTTGATCTCTTGATATCTGTCAGGTCCAGCTGCTTTCAAAGGACTTCGGGAAGCACCTTCTGGAGGTGGACGACCTGCTGCAGAAGCACAGCTTACAGGAAGCTGACATCACCATTCAGGCTGAGAGAGTCGAGACGCTCAATTCTGCTGCTCTTAAATTCACCACAATAGAAGGTGCTCACACACACGCACACACACCTAGGTCTGGTTTTTATATCCCTGTGGGGACCGTGCATTGACTTCCATTCATGTTTTGGAAATTTTATATCCTAACCCTGACCATTTAACCTAAAACTAACCTAAACTCTATTCACTCCTTGGTCCTAAACCTAACCACCCACCTATAATTTGCATTTGGACTCATTTTTTCAGGAGAATTGTCCCCACTCTGTAGGAAAAATAAGCCCCCCCCCCACACACACACACAACACAGAGAGAAGTAACTAATGACTTAAGTCATAATGATTAATCTCTGTGTTGTTGCCTCACAGGTTACCAACCCTGCGACCCACAGGTGATCTGTAACCGTGTGAACCACGTCTCTTCCTGTCTGGAGGAGCTGAAGCAGCTGGCAGCTAAAAGACGAGCCGAGCTTGAAGAGTCCCGAAAACTGTGGGCGTTTTTTCAGGTGGGGTGGCTCACAGGAACAGACAGAGGCTGTTGGGTGTTTCTAACAAGTTTGAACTTTAACCCAGAATTGATTAAATCAGACGGTTTACCCTTTTAGATATTGATAGACATGGTCTCATGTTGTCAGGAGCTGGAAGAGTCGGAGGCCTGGATTCGGGAGAAAAGCTCCATCCTGGCCTCTCAGGGTTTTGGCAAAGACCTGAGCAGCGTTCTGAGGTTACTTCAGAAACACAAAACTCTGGCCGGGGAGCTGCTGGCTCACAGGTCCCTGCTGCAGGTGTGTGGCTTTTTGCTTTTGTGACAATCTGAACATGGAACACCTACAGATACTGGCTGGTCATGCTTATTTTATTTTATTGTTTTTCCTGTTTTTGATATTTTAAATTATTCTACCTCAACATAATGGCAAATTAACATATGACCCATGAAACAAATGAATTTGAACCTCAAACTTTACACACCTCCTTCTTGTCATTATCTTGAAAATATAAACTTGTCTCTGTTTAAATTATTCCTTTTCCATTTTAATTGTGTCTGTTTTTAGAAAATGTGAAGAAATAATCAGTTCAAGAGTCTCTCCAGACATGAATAATTCCTGTTTCAGTCATTATACAATTTATCTTCTTTGTGAGTAACTTCTGTTGTTGTAAACTAGAGACACAAACAATCAGTCAACTAACGATTAATTGCGTTATTAGATTAAAATACTACTACTCCAGAACCACAACGGTCCAACAGAACCAAGCCTCAATTCTGAGCTCTGGAGAACTGAGTAAGATGTTTATGTGTCCCTGGAAATAAACAGGTTCCAGCCACAGAGAACACCTGGAGTCCAGTTAGTCCTAATTTACACTAGATGTGGTTCTGCTGCAGTCCGACCTCCGCAGCAAATACTCAACCATTATAAGAGTATTTACAAGGCTCCGCATGGCGGCGCAGGGCAGCGGTGAGCGGACGGCGATCCCCCAAAATTAGATTCGGAGCGGGGTACAAACGAATGGTGGTGAAACACAGCGGCACAGAGCGGAACCGTTTTTAGTGTAAATTAGGGGTGAGACCCAGTTTCCTCTCAAAGTTAAAAAAAAAAACAAAATTGTTTTAGCCACAGATAGAATCAACAAGAAGGCAGCAAAAAGTGAAGAATCAGAAAAATCTTCAATTCTAAATGCAAATAAGTTGTAATAATAAACAGAATAGTTCGTATCATTCATATCACCCCACAAACTAACGTTCCTTCAGTTTCAGAAGATGTTAATTCATAAAATAAATAAATAAATGTTTCTAAAGATCCCAGTTACTTCCTGGAGGCATGTATTTGTTGAGGATAGTCACCAAAAAAAACATCAGTCCTGGTCTTTCTTATCAAATAAATGTTTATAACGTACATGTTGTGAACTTGTGATGTGATGCAACGACCTGCTTTTTTAATTTTTGGTGTTCTTTGTCAAATGTGTCTCTTAGAGGCGTACCATGTGGACTTGTTCCTTTTTTAACTTAGTCAATATTCTGATTGGTGTCCATCATTTCTCTTCTTATTATGGCTTGTATCCTGGTTTATTAATTCATCAGCTGAAGTCAGATTTAACCAGAAACTACAGCTCATAAACACACTGAGGTTTGAAGTCTTCAGAAATGTTTTCCATGTAAGTGACTGTTTTTGTCCCACCGTCTCCAGAACATCATAAAGTGCGGGAAGCAGATTCTGAGTGAAAAGAGCTTTGGTACTGTGGGGATCCAGGAGCACATCATGGAGGTGAAAGGCGAGTGGAAGAAGCTGGAGGACCAGGCGGCGCAGCACCTCAGCTACCTGCAGGAGTCCCTCAACTTCTTCCAGTTCTCCACGGAGACGGACGACGTGGCAGCCTGGCTGCAGGACACCTACCGCCTGGTCTCCAGCGAGGACTTCGGTCATGACGAGTACTCCACCCAGTCGCTGCTGAAGAAACACCGAGGCGTCACCGAGGCCATCGACAAACACCGCTTCCATGTGGTGGCGCTGCGCAAACACGTGGTGGCGCTGCCTCTGAGATACCGCGAGCAGGAGGTGTGCGCCTCGTCTGGTCGGAGTCTTCTGTGAGTTTCATCCTTTTTAAACCTTTTTGTCCTCTTCTACCTCTTCTTCCGTCCACAGGACGTCCAGGTTCGCATGGGAGAGGTGGAGCAGCTGTACACGGAGGTGGCTGAGGTGGCGGTGCTGAGGCAGCAGTGGCTTCACGACGCGCTCGCAGTCTACCGCATGTTCAGCGAGGTCAACGCCTGCGAGTTGTGGATCGACGAGAAGGAGCAGTGGCTCCACAAGATGGAGATCCCCGAAAGGCTGGAGGACGTGGAGGTGGTGGCACACAGGTGAGGAGGAGGAGGAGGAGGTCTTGAATGTAGAATCAGACTTGTCTTATGAGCCCCCGCGCTCTGATGGCTGCAGGTTTGAGAGTCTGGACCAGGAGATGAACAGCCTGATGGGACGGATCCTGGATGTCAATCAGATAGTTCAGCAGCTCCTGGATGGAGGTCATCCGTCTTCTACAGAGGTCCGAGGTTGCCAGGACCACCTCAACTCCAGGTACTGAAGTAGTTCTGACGATGCAAAAGGACAAATTAATAAATTGTAAAGTGGGGTGTAAAAATTTGGGCACCATTGCTAATTTTCCTGATTTACCTTAAAAAAATCATTGATTGTTTGGATTTAAAAAAAAAATCAGTTAAATTTATCATATAGGGGACAAGCACAGTGATATTTGGGAAGTGAAATGAAGTTTATATGATTTACAGAAAGTGTGCAATAATTGGTTAAACAAAATTAGGCAGGTGCATAAATTTGGGCACCAAAAAAAACCCTTAACTCAATATTTAGTAGCTCCTCCTTTCACAGAAATAACAGCCTCTAACACCTCCTACAGCTTCTAATGAGAGTCTGGATTGTGACTGAAGGTATTTTAGACCATTCTTCTTTACAAAACATCTCTAGTTCATTCAGGTTTGATGGTTTCTGAGCATGGACAGCTCTCTTTAAGTGACACCACAGATTTTCTATAATATTCAGGTCTGGGGACTGAGATGACCATTCCAGAACGTTCTACTTGTTTCTCTGCATGAAGGCCTCAGTAGATTCTGAGCAGTGTTTAGGATGGTTGTCTTGTTGGAAGATGCAGCCCCAGCTTCAGCAGATTCAGCTTTGTCACTGATTCCTGGACATTGGTCTCCAGAATCTGATGGTATTGATTGGAATCCATGCGTCCCTCAACTTTAACAAGATTCCCAGTCCCTGTACTGGCCACACAGCCCCACAGCATGATGGAACCACCGCCACATGTTACTGTAGGTAGCAGGTGTTTTTCTTGGAGTGCTGTATTCTTTTTCCTCCATGCATAATGGCCCTTGTTCTGCCCAAATAACTCTATTTTAGTTTCATCAGTCCACAGCACCTTATTCCAAAATGGAGCTGGCTTGTCCAAATGTGCTTTAGCATACCTCAAGCTGCTCTGTTTGTGATGTGGGCGGAGAAAAGGCTTCCTCTGCATCACACTCCCATACAGCATCTCCTTGTGTAAAGTGTGCTGAACAGTTGAATGATCTGGTGGTTGTCCGAAATGACAATAGGTTGTCTCGGACAATCCAAACAATGGTTGTGTGTCAACCCCTGTTTTTCATTGCTAAAAGAAAATAAACAGGTGTGGCGGCTTTTATTTTGCTGTGGCGGAGCGCCACGATCAATTACTGTACCTGTAGGGGAAACCCTGATGATTTATAACGATAAATCAGTAAAATTAACAAGGCTGCCCAAACTTCCACACCCCACTGTAGAAAACACATTTACAGTTCAGCAGTAATTCAAGCTTGTTCAGCTGAACGTTGTGTTCTCCGGGGCTCCAGGTGGAACAGCATCGTGGAGCTCGTGGAGCAGAAGAAGGACCAGCTGGACTCGATGCTGCGCCTGCAGAACTACCTGCTGGAGTGCCAGGAGATCAAGTCCCAGATACAGGAGAAGAGGAAAGCCATAGACGCCACGCAGTACGTGGGCAGCGACCTGGGAGGAGTCCTGGCCCTGCAGAGGCGCCTCTCCACCATGGAGGGGGCCCTGTCAGTCCTGGAGCCCAAACTGCTGCACCTGCAGGTACCGACAGGACAAAACACGAGATTTAAAAATCATTTTCAAACGAAAATCATCAAAACTCTTCTGCTTGCTGATGTTAGGAGGAAGCAGAGCATCTGGCAACCGTTCACTCAGGTCGAACCATGGAGGTTCTTGTTCCGTTTGATGACATCAGCGTGGAGTGGGAGGAGCTTAAACGGACCCTGCAGGGATGTGAGGACTCTTTACTGGTGGCCAGCCGACTGCAGAGCTTCATACAGGTGGAAGAGTCATCATTAATCATCATCTTTTGTCCATTTCAGCAGCTTAAACTACAGATTTGTGACCCACCTCTTGTCTCGTCAGGACCTGGACTCGTTCCTCACCTGGTTGGTCCAGACTCAGACGGCTGCTGCTTCCGACCAGCTGCCCAACAACCTGGAAGAAGCGGAGAAGCTCATCAACAAGCACGCTGCTCTGAAGGAGGAGATAGGACGGTACGTGGCCGATGGACCACAAGCCTAATTAATTTTTATGATTTCATCTAATGCCTGTGTTCCTGCGGCCGCAGGTACGAGGAGGACTACGAGCGCCTGCAGGCCATGAACGAGCTGCTGGAGTCCGAGGACGCTCCTCTGCCTCAGGCCGCCCTGCAGCAGTGGCTCCAGAAGCTCGACGTCGGCTGGAACAAACTCCTCGAGATGTGGGAGAGCCGGAGGGAAGTTCTGGTCCAGGCTCACATTTTTCACTTGTTCCTGCGAGACGTGAAACAGGCGGAGTCCTTCCTCAACAACCAGGTGAGAGACTGTGTGTGTGTGTGTGTGTGTGTGTGTGTGTGTGTGTGTGTGTGTGTG